CACACACACACACAGACAGACAGTCCACCGTGAGCAGGAAATCAGAGGATCAGCACTATTTATTGTGGACTATTGACATTGAATCAGACTCCGCAGAACATGAACGCACCACGTATACAAAACCACTGGGATAAATGATCTTCACGCCTGATTTATTTTACAGAGGAGAGATTTAAACCTTTGATCAGGGGGGCCAGGACTTCACACTGATTGTTCAGTTGGTGGGGGCATCATGTACTATTTATTTGGCCTTTGATGGTAGCTCTGATACTGCGGAGTAAAGCCAAAGTCCTGTCACAGACCTTACTTAACTTTTGTAGTTGTTATGTTAGAACTAGACACAGGTTTCAGTGTAGGTTTCTTTGTTAACTGATGCAATGTTTAGCTGTTTGCACAGCGTTTCCTATGTTTCCTATGTACATTTAGGGCATCCATAAGAAATGGTTCCCAGTGTCTTAGTATTTGTCCCCAACTTCATTGTCTGTGGTTTCTTAACAATATCACTACAGTTGATGGTTTGGGCTTTGGCAATAATGTTAGAAGTTGGCCGAAGACAGCATGTTGTTATAAAGTTGCCTACATTTTATTTCTTCCAACAATCTTTTACATTCCCTCAGCTGTTTAACTCAAACAGTTACTGGTTTACATGCACAAAACAGATATGTAGCCCACATTATTACACAAGAAGAATAGTTCTTCTTTTAGGTTGGATTGTCCACTTTATAATTTATTAATGACAGATGTTTAAAAGCCCTTCTGAATTATTAATCCCATTAATAGCAATAAATGATCTGATTGCAGATGAGTGGGTTGCCGGAGGGAATTGCAAATGGCCCAAGCAGGAGTCAATATTTAGAGAAAGATGCTCAGATTTGGGAAAGACCCTGGACTCTTGAAGAGATGCGGCAGAACAGTGCCAACTGGTCCTTGGCAGCCGACGCAGGGGTAAGTCAGATGTTTCTTCCCCAGCTCTGAAACACAGAAACATTACAGTAATTCATCCACATCTTCCCATATAGTCGTAGTAGAAATGTTGCAGAAATGCTTTGGGTATAATGTTACATAGCTGTAGATGAGAGGGTTGTGAAATCTGTTCTACTTTTGTGTTATGAAAGTAACTTTGCAACTGCTGCTGTCTTCATAGCTGTTTTTTTTTCCCTCACAGCTCTTTTTGTTCCTCCAAGAGTTCTCCCAGAGAATGCTGTCAAAGACGCACGAGATTGAAAAGCAGTTGGACAGTCTGATCCGTGACACCAAGGCCACAGACAGCTGCTTGCACTCTGTCTTTAACGACTTTCTCATGCTTTCCAATACACAGTTTATAGAAAATGTATGTATGAAACTTTTCTGTTCTACTTCAGTTTTGTCTTGTTATACTATAAATGATAAAAATGCCTTTTTACTTTCTGTTCACAGAGAGTATATGATGAGGAGGTAGAAGAGACTATTCCCAAGGCTGATGTGTTGGAGAAGCCGCCTGAGCAGGTATGAAGAATACAACACTGACCAGCCAGTACTGAATATTGCTTTTCAGTTTTACCATATTACCTTAGTACTCACAAGTCTTGTATTGCCCTGAAAATTGTCTATGTTTTCTCTGAAGGAGAAGACTCGCGAGCAGAAAGAAGCAGAGTTGATCCCTAAGATGCAGGAAGCTGTGAACTACGGTCTGAGAGTGCTGGAGTCAGCCTTTGAGCATCTGGACATCAAAGCAGGAAATTCTGACTCAGAGGACGAGGAGGTCACAGACAGAGTGGAGGCCATCCTGGAGCCCAAGGTGTGATCTGAATCTTGAAGCAGTAATTTACTGCAGTTACTGCACGAATGCATGTGATCATCTTTACATTAATGTACTAAAGCCTGTGTGTCTGTTTTTCCTTCTCTTACAGGATCTTTATGTGGACAGACCTCTTCCATATCTGATTGGTTCCCAGGCCTTCATGGAACAAGATGATGTTGGACTTGGTGACCTCTCAAGTGACGGTAATGCAGTCATGGCAGCTTCTTCCGGCACTTGTACATTATAGTGTTTGTTTTCCTCATGTTTATTTATGATTCTCTTTCCAGAAATGTCAGTTGACAGTGACAGAGACAGCGTGATCGAGAGCGAAGATGGCAAAGGAGCAGTTGTAAGATATTCTTTTTGCTTTTTTTTTCACAGTATATTTAAAGGTTTTTATTTTTTCATCTTGCACAGGAAAATAAACACCTTATTGCATTTATTTATTTAACAGCACTCAGATGAGGACTTTGATCAGGAGGAGGATGATGGTCACAATAATATTAAGAAGGTAAGCTGCCTGCCTGCCTGCTAAGCACATCATCGATTTATATTTTAACTGAACAGCTTTATAATTTTGGATCCTCCTCCCATGCTCACCTAGAAGTCCTCCATGTTGAGTTATGAGGATGATGAAGAGGAGGAGGATGAGGATTCTGACATATTTGGAGAATCAGACAGGGATGATGACGATGACATAAAGGTATGCCTGTTGAGTTGATGAGAGATGTCTCTGTGAGTGGACTGTCTTTAATTTCAATCTGAAATCATTCAGATACGTTGCTACCTCTCTCTGATCATTCTTTATTTCCGTTCTGCTGTTCTGTGTCACATTCAGAACACGGGCCCATCGTCTTTTGCCGATGAGCTGGCAGCCCGAATCAAAGGTGAACCAGTTAACAAACCAGAAGGAGATCGTGCATGTAAGTCATTATCAACCAAGTTGTAGTGCATCATTTCATTTTGAATTTACGTGACACTTTTTTTTTTTTTTTGTTCCTCCCACTCTTCATATTTGATTTAACAAAAAGACAGCATCAAAGTTCACATTTGAGATTAAAGTGCCATCTTTGCATGTGCATGGTCATGGATTTTGTGTTTCTACCATGTCATGTCTTGGAAGCATTGACATCTAAGAAGAAAAGTAAAGGCAGGAAAGAACCAAAGCCCGCAAAGCCACAGGGTAGGACTTTCATTCATCATCAGTGCAATTTAAACATTTTTTGTTTCATTTTGCATTAGTTATTACCACAGCAGGCCCCATTGTTCCCAGTATGCTGCTCAATATTGTTTATGTATATTATAACAGCAGCCGAAGATGACAGCGATGACATGTTTAAGCCACCAAAGATGGATGATGACGACTTCTCGCCATTCGGTGGGAAAGGTGGCCTCTTCAGTGGGGGGAGAGGCCTATTTGACGATGATGACGACGTATGTTAAACTAAATGGATTTTCAGAGCTCCCTTTCTCATTCAGTCCAGTTCTACATTACTTACAGAATTGTATTATGTTATCAGGGTGATCTTTTCTCTGACGCACCAAAACCTCCTGTGTCCGAAGAGAAGAAGGTGCTGAATGAAAGCATGAAAAGCACAGCTCAAACTGCTGGTAAGACCTGAGACTCTCGTAACAAACGTGCGAAGACATGTTAGATAAGATGGCTACAAACATATAGAAAATAAATGTACTAGCAGGTTGCCACATAATTGTATTGCCGAATCAGATACAGAATTTTCCTTCCTATATTAGTGCGAAACAATAAATATAGTATGAGCAAAACAACTTATTTTCTGTCCCAGAATCTGACAAACCTGGAAAGAAGATTCCATCGGGTGCCATTTCAGTATTCCCAGGTAGGAGCGTTTAATTGACAGCTGATCACTTTCTTATCTGCTTCAGCCTCCTCAACCAAACCAGCTCCCTTTCTGTCCACAGGTAACAGCCTGTTCAGTTCAGGGAATGACTCGGATTCAGTGGAGAGCAAGGAGAACGGAACTCCAGCTGCCTCCAGACAGCTTCCTGTGGCTGCTGTTAGTGGGGTAGGAGGAGGGCTGTTTGATGACGAGGATGAGGATGATGACTTCTTCAGTGGTAAAAGCCTGACAAAGTCCGACTCTGGTAAGTGTGAGAATAGGCACTAAAGTGTTACAGTCCAAGTTCAGGTGGGATCCTTATCCTGTCAAACCACTTTGTGTTTATTACTGACATTCTTTTTCAGCTGGACCGGAGAAATCTAAACCCAAGAAAGCTATTGACCTTTTCGATGAAGACGATGAGGATGGTGATATATTCAGTGAGAAGTACAGTGCGCCAGCTCAGAGCAAGAAGGAGGTAGTGGAAGAGCACGTTCAGCCTCCTGAGAAAAAGGTAAAGATCAGCATACACGTGTGGTTGAACGTGATAGTTTCCATTATTAATATTTTGTTTGGTGTATCTACATAGCGTTTTTTGACCCATGTTGATTATTCATTCTTATGTTTAGATGCCGGCAGGGGCAATCTCCATGTTTGGTCCTGGGACTAAAAGCTTGCTCAGTGAGGGCCTGAAAAAGCGCCATCCGTCTACCAGCGAGGAGTCTGAGAAATCTGAAGAGGTCTGAATCGATCATTGTCTAACAATATGCTCCTGACAAAATTAAATTTGGTGTGTTTTCACATGCTAAATGGAAGGGTTTTTCTACCAAAAATTACTCTATTGGGCTTCAATAACTGCAGTGTGTGCAGGCTGTCTAGCCTAAATTGTCAAAAGTTACACTATCCGCCAGTTGTAGGCCACAGTGTATCTTCAGTTTTTATATACAGTTATGGCCCAAATGCCTTCTCCTACATAAACTCGCAAGCTAATGTCTCAGGCATGGATGCCATTAAATTAACAGACCTATTTGCAGCCAGTATATTGGTGTTTGCTCAGAGTTTTCATATTCAAGTTCCGTCCGAGGAAAAGGCCAGATTTGATTTAGTTTGGAGTACACTGCTGGCCTTTACTCCTGTTGACACAGTTCAGTTCTCTTTGCCCTGTACCAGTATTTTCTTTCAAGACTGAAACCTCATACTTTTAAAAAGGAAGTTTAAGAATTTAAAAAGCCAAATTTTCATCCTCATGTCGTGCTTTTCAGAATGGGTCTGCTCCAGATGTTGGGAAGGCAGCTGTCAAGCAGACTCAGAAACCCCAAACCAGAGGTCTTTTCTCTGATGATGAAGACACACAGGTAAAGCTCTAAAACTTAACTAGAAAAAAGGTGTAATACAGTAATAACACATTTTAATTACACTAAATATGTATTTTCCTCCACAGGGATTCCCAACCACCCCTAAGAGCCAGTCTAAGCCTGAACCTATAAGCCAGAGCAAAACCAGCAAGGCCCCATTGTCATTATTTGACGATGAGGAAGAAGAGGTGAAAATAATTAACTATTTCAAAGCTTGATTGGCTTAGGCTTGTGTTTACTGTGAGTTACATTACAATAATCCGGTTCTTGACCTTGTAGGATCTATTCGCATCTGCAGCTAAATCTAAACCAAAACCTAATCAAGCTAAAGCCTCCACACCGCAACCCAGTAAGGCTGTGTCCAGCTCCCTCTTCAGTGATGATGAGGTACGAGAATACGAGGAGTAATATTTTACTGCTGCATAAAAACATTTCATGGAACTTACTAACATGATGCATTATTTTCGTGAATATTTGAATGACAGGACCAGTGGATGAGTTCTAGTAGTGCAGGGAAGCCAGAGGTCAAGACGGGAGGGATGAAGCCCAGTGTCAGTGCCCCCTCCAGCCTCCCCAGTGCCAGAACGTCTCACAAAAGCAGCCTCTTTGATGACGACGATGACCTGTTTGCTCCAACAAAAGAGTCAAGGTATTTACACTTATAAAGATTTTACTATGATTAGAAACAGAGTAAAAAAATGTCTGCTCACTGTTATAATTGCAATAAAATCACAGAAAAAGGTACTTTTTTAAAAACATTGTGTTATCTATGCTCTTCTTCTGTTGCTCTTCATATAGTCAAAAGAAGCCTCAGAGAGTTGCTCTCTTGTTTGAAGATGAGGGTAATGATGATGAAGATAAAGGATCCCTCTTTGGCATCAAACCTGCTGTCAACACAAACACTGCAGCCCCAGCTGCTAGAGTGAGTACGCTAACTTTATTTTTTTGTATTTTACATTTGTCAGTGACAAACAGTGTTGTTTTGAAGCGTGCCTCTAGTGGGCTTTAAAGCAGATTAATGAGTACAGAGTGAGAGACTTTCCTCAGCCCCTAGAGGGCCATTCAGATCCGAAAACAGCAAATCAAAAAATCAAGTTGGCTCTATAAGTTTGTCACACAGTAGTGATATTTCAGATGAGTTGATAGCTAATTTATTACACCATTTAATTTGTGTTATCTCCCATGTAACAATTAAATCATTTTAATTGCTTGTATTCTTCAGACTCCTGCCGTGGCCTCTCAGTCGCCCTCCCTGATGGAGAGATCAGAGGAGGTTGCAGTTTCTAGGACAGCAGCAAAGGACAAACCTTCAGAGCAGGAGAAGCCAGCGGCAAAGACCCCTGAGCCCCTCCCGTCATCGCCCTCGCCAGAGAGCGGTGACAGTAAAAAGAAGCCTGCTGGAGCAGTCAGTCTTTTCGGAGGCATCAACGTTCTTGCCAACAAGCAGACAAAGAGCCCGTTGGATGAAGATGACAATGATGACAGCTTCCTCTCTAAGGACAGCCCACCACCAAATGTTAAGAAGGAGGAGAAAAAGGAAGAGAAAGTCAAAACAAACACTGTTAGTCTATTTGATGATGAGGAGGAAGATGAGTCAGACTGGAATGATCCGATATTCACACCCAGTAAACCCACAGCAAGAAACACACTAAAGGTTTTTATGATTTACAGTCAATCTAATAATAGTGTGAAGAATTGATTTTAGTTGCATTGGTGTACCATTTCTCCTGCAGTTAAGGTATTACTTATTATTTATTATTATTTTTTTGGTCTTCTTTGTTTGTTTTTTAACAGCCTACAGAGGAGCGACCACAAGCAACAAGCACAGGCGTGTTCCAAGATGAAGAGCTGCTGTTCAGTCAGACGCAGCAGAAGGACAATGACCCAGATGTTGACCTCTTTGCCACCTCAGGGAAAGCTGCAGTCAGTACATTAGATTTCCTTATCCGTTTGCATGCAGACGTCTTTCTCTAGATGATAAGGATGATGAACATGATTATGTTTATTTTTTAGAGCTCCAAGCTCAGCTCAGTGAAGCCAGCAGCGCAAAGTCTGTTTGCAGATGACGATGAGGATGACCTCTTCAGCTCCATTAAGTCAAAAGCTCCTCCACCGGTAGCAATTATTAAAAACATTTTTTTAGAATTATGGTGGATTCCTGCTTCCCTAGCATCAGATATTACATTAGAAACCCCAACCCCAAATTTATATCAGTGGGAGAACTGACCTCTCTTGCTTTTTGTCTCTTATTTTCGTTCTCAGAAAGTAGCAGAGAAACCCAGTAAACCTAATGACAGAGCACCGCTAGCAAGTCCAGAATCCGTATCAGAGATTCAGGTGAGTCTACTGTAAACATATACTGTAGATCTAATAATAATGTCAGCTGTTTTATTTATTTGAGCCAAAAACACCTGTGTGACCTGCGGTTTTGAGTTTGGGTTACTTTTGCATTTTGTATTAGCTGGCATACCCTTCGATATGTTGTGTTTAAATACATCTAGAGTGTTGAAAGGTAGTGTTGTTTCTAGATGAACACAAGAAATGCCTTCATTGGATTAAATTCTGAACGTGCTGTAATCTGACCACACAGAAACCCGCACCAAGCCCTGTAAAACCTAAAGATTCCTCCTCAAGGATTGGGAAACTTCAAGTAATATTTTTGTTTTTATTGAATCAAACGTCTTTATTCTTGACATTTCACTCTGATTCCTCTTGAGGAAAGACTTTTCTGTTCCCACTTACATGTTGTCTTTCTTAAGGTTTCTTCTGTCTGGGCTTTTTCATGTTCCAACTTAGAAGCTTGGCTATGATACAACAGCTTGACAACCAAAATAAAGGAAAATTCTCTGTTTTGATTTGATTTAACTGCAAGATTTGATTGCGATTGCTCTCAGTTTCACAAGAAGTCCCTGCATCTTGCTGTTGCCTCATTTCCATTCACAGTCTTGGCTTCTCATTTTCCTCTGAATGATCTGCTTCTTGCATCCACTCTGAGAAACTTCATGAAAAGAGATTAGCTGCAAATTTTAAGTTTAGAGGCATAAACATGTACCAATGTAGTATATTTTAACTGAAAAGTCTGTTTAATTCACCTTTGGTCAGTACTCAGGATTCAATGATTATATTGGTGCATCTGATCTTATCATATTCAGGCCAATCTGATGATCAACCCTGCTGCGTTGCTTCCTGGTGCTGTCCCCAGTCTGCCAGGGGCCATAAGTGTACCCCCTGGCATGGGCCCTAGTTCCTCCTCTGGGGTGTCCAGCTCCAGCCTGACCCCCAGCCCTGCCACAACCCCTGTAGGAGCCCAGACAGAACGCGAGGGAGCAGTGAGCTTTGACTCCCCGGTCCAGGTTGAGACACTGCAGAGTGCACACAAGGTGGGTTTATTAAGTCTGTTATCTGTCTTTTAGTTGCTTTCCATTGCTTGGATTTCTGATGTGATACTGTGAGTGCAAATCTTCTGTCATGCAGAGTCGTGTCAAAGGTTCTCTACAACGGAGACCCCAGTCCAGAGCAGCGAGGCAGCAAGCAGCCCAAAGATCTGTAGTGGATACAGAAGAGACCCTGGATGGAGATGTCCCTGGGCCAAAACCCAGTCTGTCTGGTTCAGTCTTGCCTCCACCAGACAAGTCCAGCCAGACGCCTGTCAGTCCGACACAGTCTAACTCAGCAGCAAACACAGCCTTGCCCGCCTCCTCATCTTCTCATTCTTCTCTCTCTGAAACTTCCCCAAGACCCTTTTCACTGACACTGCCAGTATCCGCAAACGCTGGAAAGAAAGACTCTAGTAAAGACAGCAGCAGTACCAAGGTGCTGCCATCTTCTGACGAGGATGATCTTTTTGGCTCCGACGGTCTGTTTGGGGCCACCTCAGTCTCTAACACGCCCTCCACCAGACCAGCCACCAAGACTACACCACCTCAGTCCAGTAGCGATGTGGGATTGAAGAAAGACCAAGACAAAAGCACACTCCCGTCCATTTTTGATGACAACACCGATGACCTTTTCCAAAAGGTCAAGCCAAGGTCAACCACTAAGAAAGCAACGGCCTCCTCCTTTTTGGAAGATGATGATGATAAGGACATCTTTGGAGTGAGCAACAGCTCCACTCCCACATCCACAAGTAGCAAAGAAATCAAGAGCAGCAGTAGTTTTTCAAAGCCGGACATCTTCAAGGTACCTGTTATTTTACATTGATGGTAATACTATCAAGGTTTTCTGTGCCTTCATTTCTTTCCTCATCAGCTGAATCTCTGTGTTCTCAGGATGAAGTAGCCACTGTGCCTAAAGTTCACAAGAAGCACAAAGAGAAGACCGTTGATGCCAGCTTGTTCGATGACAACATAGACATTTTTGCTGACCTGACAGACACTTTAAAGCCAAAACAGAAGTCCAAGACAAAGGGAGAGACCAAGTCAATATTTGATGATGACATGGGTAAGCAACAATAAAACAGGCATTCATGCTTCCTGTAGTTTACCTTCTTTTTTCTTTTCGAATTGGCATATTTAACTAAATATTTTGTCCATCTGTCTCTGTTCTTTAAAGACGACATCTTCTCACCAAGCACAGTAAAACCAGTCACGAAGGCCCCCCAAAAATCAAAGAAAACGCCACTGTCTCAGGAGACCAGTACAGCAGCGGATTCAAGCAACATATTTGACGATCCACTTAATGCTCTCGGTGGGAACTGAACTGTTGTTTCTGAGTAGCCAGATTTGTACAATTGTGGATTCATTCTTTTGCCATTTGGATCGCTGAAAGATTGGAGATCGGATACACTGTTGATAGAGTATTTATTCATATGAATTCATATAAATACTGTGGCTTATTTTTGGCGTATATTCTCAAATGAAAATGATTCCAGTTATCATCCGACGGCATCATCTCTGCATCAGATCATATTATGTAACAGTTATTATATACTGTTCATCTTTATTATACATGATAGCACTTTATAAGCATACCATATGCTTAGCCTCAAAGCCTGCAGAAATTAACAGTAAATTGTTTTGTTTGTTTTGAAGATGTTTATCCTTTTGGCTTTTCCATGTTGAGATTCCATGTCTTTGAGTTTGTGCCATATCATGGTTATGAGAAATCAATGTGTTTACTTACTGTCTTAGGCATTTTGACAATGTTTTTATTAATAAGAAATTCATCAATTTCTTAACTTTGGCTGTGATGAAAAAGGAAATTCATTTTTAATAACTAAAAAGAAACATATTTTATGCTATCTGAAATGTGTGTGATTATTTCCAGTCAGGTCTGTCTAGACTTAAATATTGATCAGTGTCTGATGTCAGCAGGAAGCTTATTCCGAAGAAAGGGAACTTTATATCGCTGATAGACACCATTTCTGTTTCATTATTGGATGATTAAGGTTTAGTGCTTTTGCTGTGGTCAGTTTTATTAAAGCAAAAAAAGGAGGAATTCAAGCTGCTCCCTTGATAGCATTTAAAGAGGACCCACGTGGCTGCTAGAAACTATATAACCTTTCCACAGTAAGGATTAAGTAAAAGCTCCAAAAGCTGTGAAAGCATAATTCGTGGGTCAGTAGGTTTTGGATGGCATGGGACTACAAATTGACACACATTTGGAAACAGACATTTGGGAGGAGATATAGTGTCATTAACATATTTGTACAGTAAAAAAAAATTCTTTTATGTGAACATTTTAGAGACTGCTCAACTTTTTTTTTTTTTTTAAGAAATGTTTTCATTTTTTTCTTCTTAAGATGAAGAGGAATCAATTGTTGACCCACACAAACTGGTAAGAGACAGCGATTGTACCAATGATGTAACCACATATCTGATGGATTTTTAAACCTGTGATAATTACAGATATAATGAATATTTGGAGGATTGTCACAGAGAGGATGTGAAACTCTCTCACCCAGAGACATTTGTGATCCCACCCACCTCACCCAATTGGTTCCTTTGCCTGTCAATCAACCGAAGTCACACAAAGGTGTTGTTCAGACGCCTTTGACAGGTATGAAGATGTCGACAACAAGGGCCACGGCGACCGACCACAGTTGACAGTCTCGTTTGTACCGCGTGTGGTTGTTTTTTAAAGGGTTGAACGTGATGAAATGCTGCTCGGTTTTGAACGCAAGGTCAGCCTCGACAGCCACACCGGGACTGAAGCCCGTGAATGTAGCCTAGCAGCCTGCTAGCCAACCACGGAGAAAGGTGGCCATTGTTTGAGTTGTTGGCTGACATGGCAACGAGAGCTAATGTTAGCAGCGTCGGCTAGACGTGCTTCACTGCCGTGTTATTGCAGAAGATACTGGTGAGTAGGTTTTCAACGATGACATGCTACCGTGAACCGAGGTTTTCATGTGTGTTGTGGACACTGGAGGTATAAATACTGCGTGTGTGACCTTTCTCTGCTAGCGTTAGCCGCCGGAGTTGTGTTGAGACGATTGCCAGCCCCATTCATCTCCGTTGTCATTAGCTGAACCTACTTTTATCTCTTTTTGTTGACCTGTTCTTGTGGCTCCTGCTGGGGTGGTGCGTTCAAACACGGTTTTATGTGAGGTTTAATGTAGCTAGAGGCAACCTGTCTGCTCACAGCGCCTGTAACTTGACAGCCTAATCGTTTTCTTTAGACAATGGCCTGTTATGACAAGCGTTAAGTCAGTCAGCCTTTTTTTATTATTATTATTGAGACCCTTTTTTATTATTCAGAAAACTGACGACCCTCATTAAGAGACATATTTTATGGATATTTCATATTAATTTCAATACATAACAGTATAGAACAACTAATACACTGTACCATGAACACATAATGGTGAAAGTAATATTGCATTATGAGTTTTCTTGATATTTTTAGGGAAACTTTTATACAATTTGTCTGTTTTTATATATGTTTAACTTTTTAACAACCATGCATACTTTATATTCTTCTTTTTTGACAGATTCTGTGTTTGTTTTCTTCTAATTTTTCTATTAGCTCTCTGATAAACGGCCTCGTCCTGCATTTGAAAAGTTCAAACAACCAGAGAATGAAGACTCTGTAAATATAGCTTGTGTTCTGGTCTTCACTGTGCCTTTTTATAACTAAAATAATAATCTAAACATTAAAAAATACCAATGTAATTCTGTTTTTCTACACACAAATGAATGAAATGCTTAGATATAGGCCTTCTGTGTATATTGTATATGTTTTCTTACTCCCTTTATAATCAAGAAGGCCTTGTGACCCCTCGTGAAGCTTACGTGACCCCCAGGTTTGGAACCACCTCATTTATGTGCATGTCTGGTTACTCGCTTTTCTGTCAGTCCCTAGTTAATTGGAAGATCTCCATTTAAATGCTCAGTGTGTTAAGGGCCGTGGACAGTAGCTTGTGGACGACTGTAATTCTGAAACACACAGGGACAAGATAATATAATACGTGGATTATACAAAATAACATTATTTCATTTTCAGAGTAGTATGATCGACCTGGCCTGCCTCTGACGCAGATTAAATGTAAGATGTTGGTTCGTCAAGTGACACAAGAGGTGATCTGTCAAAGGCTGCGGTCAGGCAAACGACATCTCATACCACTGATGGGCTTATGTGACACACCTGATCTTCTTGAATTTTGGCCGGGGCCTTAAATGCTGCCCTGAATGTTTTATGAGAGGGTTGCACGTGTCTGCTGCCACTGATACATGCCTTTGTTCTAAAACAATTGCTCCTCAATTTAAAGCATACTGCAAGAAAGTCTCAAGGACAGTTTTTATCACATATATGGACATATTTTTATGTCTGTTACCACTGGTCCATCTGTTGTTACCTAAAATACTATCCCATCAGGTTCATACCTTGTTATGTTATTCATTATATGAATATTGCTCACAGTTGTGAAGCATTCATGTGCAATCCAAACTGACTTGGCTATCAGAGTTTAGCTTTTGAATGCTATGTGAATGCTAAGCCAGCTGGAAAATGTAACATTTCAAACCAAATTTCAGACTATCACCAATATATTTTCAACCTGTGGGAACACACGCTGTACATGCATTAAATGTAAGCCGTTGCAGGGGCAGAAAAATGGTTAAACTAATCAAACCTTCTTAAAAGTTCTGATAACCAGGCAGTGATTTTCATTCTTGTTTCTCACAGATGAGTTCATCCTGCATGATGTGTGACGGTCGTGAAGCCAGTAAACAGTGCCTGTCCCTCTCTCCCTCATCTTGGGCCAGCCCCCCCATTTAACCATCCCTTGAAGTCTCTCTCCCAAACTGCCAAGATGACCGACAGGAAGGAGCCACCCTTCTTTAATGACGACAGTGTGGGAGCTTTTCACTATAAGCTCCCTTTCTATGACACTATGGAGCTCTTCATAGAGACCCTTACAGGGACCTGTTTTGAGCTGCGCGTGTTGCCCTTTGAGGCTGTCATTTCAGTCAAGGCGAAGATCCAGCGGCTGGAAGGTACAAAGCTCACTATATATGTATGGTTTGCATGTTTTAGTTTGCTCTTATGGAGTAGTGTCTGCAGTGCTAGTTGCACTTATTGAGCCAGCAAGCTGCATCAATTGTTTGATAGACTGAGAAGATAAAACCTTAATATTCAATCTTTTCTGATTTTTCCTAATGTATAATTCAGTGTATATAGGCACTACAAGCCTTGTGCTCCAGCAGTGGGTGTTCATAAAATATCACTTTTACCCATTACATGTATTGCTATGGTTGTTCTTCTTGTTTATACAAAATCAAAATGTAGGAAACTAGTGAGCCGTGTTGATTCCCAAAGTCAAAACATCTCGGAAATTGTGGAAAAAGGTCAGGCATTTTGCAGACGATGCCTGACCTATAATGTCATTACCCCAAAAAAGTCTGTGGACTCACCTGTTGGCTTGTGTCCCAAGTGTGGCAGCGGAGACACCACGAATGAACACTCCGTTCTGCAGTGTAGTTTAGGATGAGGCTACGTGGGTCGAGTAGGAATTCATTTGAATGAATTATGTGTTTATTCAAACTTGATTTTTTTTTCGGTTGCCCTCTGAGCTTGCTTTTTTGTAGATCAAGATGACCTTTCACATCAACATTCTTTGCTGGTGTTTTCAGTTTTGGTCAGAAAGGCCTCTCTGTGCTCTGTGTGTGAGGAGGTGTGTCAGCCAAGCCTGTGTGTTTGTGATGGAGCATACCACTCTGCAATGAAAAGACCACTGCTCACTCACTAACACTGGCTCACCTCCAGCACCGGGTCATTGAGTTCACTCATTGTGGGCTCAGACAGCTTCCTGACTACGCATACACTCGTCTCATACAATCTTATTCCAGGGAGTGCCTCTAGAGGGGCTTTCTATGTATTCAGTTATCATCCCTCTACTGGAGTCTTATTATGTTGCTTTATATTTAGTAATAATAAAATATAGACACATAGGAGTCCAACCAACCTCATGTATTTGAAAGTTTTAGCTGTAAGATAAGCTGACTAACGCTGAGATAACATTAGCACATCAAATAATTTTGTACTATTTAAGTTGACAGTGCATCTGCAACTGTGATTTGCCCTTTTTCAGCAGTTACATAGTTCTGTCTTTAGGGGGCAGACATGAATCATCTTTAGTGTTATATGGATGCTTCTGTTGGTAGCCTTCCCATCTTGCCTCTCTGTCAGATTAGTGAACTTAGTCTTTGAAATATGAGCAGGCTCTTGTCAACTTTGGTTGTTTTCTCTCCTACCTTCTCTCTAACTGTCTGTAAAGGTATCCCTGTTGCCCAGCAACACCTTATCTGGAACAATGTGGAGCTGGATGATGAACATTGTCTGCATGACTATGGGTAAATCTATTTCTCCCGACCCTTTCTGTCCTTCAGAGCACCGACACAGACAGCGAGGCTTGGTAGAGCAATTACTAGCAATATGTTTGAAAACATGCTGTTCATTAAAAATAATTTGCATGTGCACTTCAAAAGCCTTTCTGCTCTGGTGGTGACTCAGTCTTAATTCAAGTCACCATGTTCTAAATGAGCCAGAGATGTAGAGCTCGATGAGACAAGTGACGTACTGGTCATATTTAGAAAGCTCGTCCCTCCACTGTTGTCACTTTATGAGATGCAGACCTCACCCTCCAGTGCTCTGCTGGCTGCAGATGGTGGTATTGTTACGAATGCTTGTCACTTCATTTTCCACATGAACAGCCTCTGGTGAGATCTTGCTAGGCTCGCCTATCACACTGCAGCATGCTTTTGAAGTTTTAGAAGCAGAGGGGTAGCGTAGGCAATAA